CACAAGTCGCCTAACGACCGTCGACGCTCGCCCGACCGTGCAATCGCAAATATAAACACGCGGGAGGCAGCGAGCGCAGTGGGCGAAAGCGCCTTTTCCCAGGATGGGCGAACGCGAATTTAAAAGAAAAATCTACCCTCCCTTTTTTGCGATTCGTTCACTCTTGAGGCATTCGGCTAGAAGAGATGACGTCTGGCGTTGTGCGAAATTAAGATCATTGATTTATAACGCCTGCTTTACGAATGCGATCCAAAAGCTCTCTCTATATCACATTAGCTTTCCACTACAGAATGACGACAAAGAAAATACGTTCATACTTCTTTATGTGCGTCCTACTCTGTACAGTTAATGTAACTATTGCACTTCCCTATGTAACGAGAAATATCAGTTATTATTTACGACCAAACTCCGCAGTTGTATTAATGTAAAGAAATTTATGAGTTAGGTGGAAGAGCAGGCTTTATAGTCTGAAAGTATTATTTCTCTCAATGTTGGTGAAGTTGATCCAATCTCTTCATTAATATTCCAACTTTTAAGTGGCAAATATTTAAATTTAAATTAAGTTTTCCACATATTTTTATGATTGTATTTCTTTCAACCATCATATCATTAAATTGCATGTTATTTTATGCTTTTGGATTAAATTTTATTTTTAATTTTCTATTTAATCACCAGAATGTTGGAGAATGGATTTGGTAATGCTCCTATAAGAATGCGCAGTAAGTCGTCATTGTGGATTTCTGCCTCCTGCGGTCTGCGGTCGCCTTGCCGGCACTGTGCCGAGTGGGGCGTGGGCGTAGGCCGCGGAGGCGGCGGCGGCGNGGCGGCCGCCGTGCCGAATGCGCGCCCCTCGGGAGGTAATTTGAGCGCGCGGTTGCGGTAATGCGCTCCGGCGCGTTATGATTGCAGCGCCCGCCGTCTCCGCCCCCGCCGCCGCTCGCCGCCTCGCGCAACAGCCACTCGGCCGCTCCACTTCCCTGGCGTCCGACCCGGCTGCCGTTGCCTGCTCTATACACTTTTTCTGCATACAGTCATGAGACGTTTTCATTCTCGATTCCAGCAAGACAGAAATCACACGAAAAGAGTGAAACCTAATACCACAATACAAAATACTTAAAATCTCCTTACTTACAATATGTGAGTTATTCCATTTTGTTAATCTTCATCCTTCAATCAATTTGTACTGTATACGATTGGATTGAAGATGAAAAATAATGCAAACGGAAGCAGAGGAAACGGGAAAGTCTTGATACAAGTTTCTGTACACCTGTTTGGTGCAAAAATTTCATATGGACTGACCGGTATTTGATTATTTTCTGTTAAGGGCCTGTAAACGGCTCAGGTCATTATTTCGTAAGTGTAGTATTTTTATAACTAGATAAGGCGATATTCTTCCTTCTCTAAATGTTGAGATTCGCCGCCGACCTCTCGAGGGCTAACGGATTTTCCCAATTCAGGTATCTCCCACCAGCGGAGCACCGCCTCACACGGATCAAGCTCTAATCTCCCGACTGGTTTGCCGACATGTGTGATTGTGCAGTAAATGTAAGTGTACGTGTGTGTAACTAAGGGGTGAGAAGAGGAAAGGGAGAGGAAGGAAAGCTCGCGCGCTGTCCGCGGCTCGTTTCTTAGGGTACTGCTCGAGCATTCGCCTGGGTCTTGAGCGGAAGAACCACGCAAAACCGCAGATCAGTGCAGTCGGTCCGCTAGAATTCTCCAAAAAGCTGCTGCATCTGGCCTCGCTAACTAGCTGGTGATGAAAATCGTCGGAGCTAGAATCTCCGTCGGAGCTCGAATCTTAGGATTTCGCGATCAGAGGCTTTGCAGTGTTATCAGTTGGTGCCCTGAGCCACCTCAGCCGGTTAATCAGTATTTAGTCCCTGTACACAGAGATGTATGGTGAGCGACCTGACCACTCCACCAGAGATCAATAGCACCTACAATGAATTGTACATCAGTGCCAGACACATTCGCTCCAACTCCTCAATTCGCGGTCACTCCAGTGCTTCTGACCGGGAGGAACCAGGTAACATTACGTAGAGAGGCAGTTGGAATTCAGCCTGTCTGGAGGATAATTCTATGATGCTTTGACCGGGAGTTTTCCGAGATTTCTCCGATCAGCACCAGCCGAATGCCCGAGTAGTACCCTAACAAACGAACCATGGAGCGCACGCTATGTTTCCTTTCTCATCCTTCTCCTATTCTCACCCCTTACTCACATAAACTTACTCTCACATGCACTACACTACCACACATGTTGGAACACCAGATTGGAGCTTAAGGTTTGTCCCGATGGGGCGGTGCCATGCTGGTGGGATGTGCCTGGTTGGGGGAAACCCCGGTTGTGGCGGTGTCACGCTGACCCGCAAGCAGACTTAGGTCAGCGCCGAATCTCGCCAGCCAGCGGGGGAAGATCACCGCCACCTCCCACGATAAAAGCATGCACATTGCGCAACTAATGAACTTGGCGGTTGACGCGACTGGAATCACTATTGAATCGTTCAATTAACCACATCTGCCGTCTCCTTCCTTGTATATTCAACTCAGCTTACGCCGTTTCAATCTTCGTCGTCATGGCTTCTACCGCCGCCTTCTCAACCGCTGTCTCCACCTCCGCCGCCTCTACCGCCTTCAACCGCCCTCCGCTGCCACTATATCTACCGTCTCCACCTTCGCACCACATGTCCGCCACCTCCACATCCGCCGCTTGCACTTTCGTCCACCCCGTCTCCGACACCCCCTCCCACCCTCACCTTCGCCTCCACCAATGCTATCTTCATCTCCATCACATCCATCTCCACCGCCTTCACCGCCATCCGGTGTCCACATCTCCGCCACCTTCAACACTTCCTCCATCCCCACCACCTCCGTATTCACAGATTTCGTGTCTGCCTCCTCGATCCCCATGGCTTGTGGTAATACTATCATCGTCCAGTGCACCTTTACGTCATGGTTCTCATCCCTACGGCATCGTTTCTCTACAACGCGTACTTCTCGCATCTCCATTGCAGGGTAACCACCTTCACCACCGCCTCTTAGAAGGCGTAGAAAAATGACGCGGAAGAGTGTTTAAACATCGTTCTGTGTTCCGCTCTAAAGTTAGTGCGCATTAACCTTTTGTCTGATGCGGGCTTACTCTAATTTGAAAAGTGTTTATACAGGTAGAACTATGGCTAACAACTTGATAGAAAAAATGTTCACAAAATTAGAATTGTGTTGAGATAATTAAGGAAAGAAATGCAAGGGTTATAACTGTAATAATGATATTGATTATGTTGTGTTGTATCATTAGATGAGTTTGTAATGATGTTAATGTATTTATAAAAAAATCCTTTGTTAGTTATTTCTCCGTCAGCATTTCAAACGAATTAAATAAAAGTAATTAACCATATTAACCACAGAATTGTTTTATTAATTATACCGAATATAGTGAAATGTGGCGAGATATGAGGTTCGAACTCCCGCTCGTAGGAACGGGAAATTATAGCAGGCGCCTTAGAGTGTGCAGCTATTCAGGCTTCATTTTTTTCTCGAACGGAATTTGCAACGTTTAAGAATCAAATGTGTTTTTAAATTTCATTAGGAAAGTTTTATTCATCAATGAAAATATACGAATGAACCAGAGTATACTTGATGATAAATAATAATTTTATATTAAAAATACAGACTGTAAGTAAGAGTAGCGATACGTAATAACGATTAGCTCATTAAATTTGATTAGTGCAGTGACAGCGTGTTTCCAGTTGTAACGTCGAATGTCACTGAACCTAGGCAAGGAATATTAAAGAATATTTTGTAAAACAAATTGTTAAAGTAATGGAATTAACCGTGTTAATGTCAACAAAACTGATGAAATTGAAATGTTCAAGACAAGAATTCTGGTCTGGTGTGGTTTGGTGTGGCCTCTGTATATTCAATATGTGTTGTGAAGAGCTCTAAGGTGAGTGTTTGTAAGTTATTCACCTGTTTTTGATGATGAGAAGAACTTTATCATCTAAAGATACTATTATTTGTTTCATAAAAAAATGACTACTTATCTCAGTAGAATTGTTTCATCTCTAAAATGTTGCTTATTAGCCATTTTGATGTTAAAGCACATAGTGTTGATATGTGTTTTGATTCAAGTACTAAATAAATTTACACGAATCTAGTTCATTAGTATTCTTACCTTTGTATCGCAGATGTTAGCCATTGTCATTTAATAGAATTATATATGCGGCTGTTAGACAATGATATAGCTTACAGAGTAATAGATGGATAATTAATGTTTCTGCGTGTGTGTTAATGAGTTAGTGCATGGGTAGATAAGTGAATTCTGGAGAAATAAATGTACTTCGATGATTTTTGGTCTACTTAAATAAAGAAATATATGGAAATACTCCAATTATTTCTATACCCATGAATATTTGAAATAATATACTTTATTAATAAACTGGTTATGAATGTTACGAAATGTTATGAATGTTATGAAAGTAATGAATGGATGATTGAATTGTACTTTTGAATGTCGTTGACTTGGGGGGGGGGTAATTATGTGTGTAGTAGGAAGATTTGATAGTTTAGTGTTCGAAAGTTGAAATGGACTAGAAATGGGAAAATTGATTTTTGGATGTGTATGTGAATGGCAAGCGTCAGTTTGAGAGATCAAATGATTAATTAATGTGAATCTATTTATTTAGTAAAACAACAGTAAAAACTATGTGACGTATGGGGGACGATCTTTTTTTTTTGTTTATTTATTTACGTCAAAAACAGTTTAAAAACTGTGTGTAACGTGATATGGGGAGAAGTTAATTTGAAGTTACATTTATGTGCAGAAGCAAAACAAGGGCCATCTCAGCATTTGCTCGAGGATCACGGAAACTACGCACGTTTGTCGCGTCATCTGCGCACGCTTTCTCGAGTTCCAGAATCCCTTCTCATAATTTTTATAGTTGAAAGTTGAGTAAAATACAATTTAATATATATATCTGAAACAACCCTGTTAGTGTTCAAGTCTAACGCATAAACCGTTCTGATGACTTTCTACAAATTTAATATCCAGCTCGATCTGAACGAACTTAGGGCCTTGTGACTTTGAAATAGATATTTTAATTTTGGAGAGTACTTTAAATGAATCCTCAACATTTTCAATTACAGAAATTTCAAAAACTGTTTTCTTATAAACGACTCCAATAATTTTCCTTAATCCTCTACCTCGTATGTATTAAAGATTAAAAAACTGGCGCGTGTCCTACTTTTTACGAACTCTGTGTTATCGAAAACTGCAAGAAATTAACTGCAAGAAATTAAAATACAATTATTCCTCTTTATTATTATGATTGTAAGAAGTATCTAAGCAACGCCGGGTCAATGATTACTGTAAGCCAAGTAGCAACGTTTTGCAAACGAATGGGAAAAAAAGTGTGGGGCAGTGCTGGAGTGGTGCATCGTAAATCTGCTGAGGAAACCGCGACGCCCGGTGCGGGCGTGTGGCGCGCCCGAACGTGCTTTCTCCCGCCCGCGGCTCCTCGCCCGCGCCCATCGGAAGTCGCCCCCGCCCCTCGTGAGAACGCCCTCGTCCTCTCCGACCGCCCTCGCCGACTGACCGCGTCACCTTCCCTTCCTGCCCGCCCTGCCATTCCGCTCGCCCTCGCTATTTCGCCAATCGCCCTATCTAT